TTTTGGGACCGACTGCAGCTTATTACAGCGATATCTGCGTGGGGTCGATCGCGTGCCGGCTCGAGAAGAAGGAGGGAGGGGCTGTCAGGGTTTATATCATGACCTTGGGGGTTTTGGCCCCGTACCGCGGTCTGGGGATCGGTACGCAAATTTATCGATTTGATTGATTTTCTCTCATTCTTTTTTTTCTTTTTTTTTTTTTTTGGGACCGACTGCAGCTTATTACAGCGATATCTGCGTGGGGTCGATCGCGTGCCGGCTCGAGAAGAAGGAGGGAGGGGCTGTCAGGGTTTATATCATGACCTTGGGGGTTTTGGCCCCGTACCGCGGTCTGGGGATCGGTACGCAAATTTATCGATTTGATTGATTTTCTCTCATTCTTTTATTTCCCTATACAATAACTGTTTCAAATGAAAATTTGTTTGCGGCTTGATTAAATGGTGAGTTACATTGTTGCTGGATGTGATAAGTTCATATATATAGTGCTGTTTCGAACATCCCTATGCTTGAAGATTTTTTAGCTAATGTATGGTTCGGACACGAGAGCGAGCCGTGTAAAATTCTCAGGTTGCTGATTGCTTTACTGGATGAGAAGTCGGCTGATGCGCTCATTTAAACAGTTGTTGTATAAATTATTGAAGATTTACTAGTATCTTCCTTCACATGCACATACCAGCCGGTAACTTTAATATGCCAATGGGAGTAATACATCAACACATTAGGATAGTGGAAAGGGTAAAGTTTTTGATAGCCTGTTTACTTGAGTCTTGGGCGAAAATAGTTAATTATGAAACCAGTATTCGTTGGTGATTGATTTGATTTGATATGATAATCCTCTATAACTTGGGTGTTTTTTTTTCATTGTTTTTCTTAACCATTTTTTTATAATATTGGATCCATTAGCTATGACTATGATATGTAGGATCTTTTCCCCTTCATGTCCGGCACACCTGGAAATGATGTGTTCATCGTTCTCCTTAAATTTACATATGTGGCTGTTATTTACGATAGAATTATATACGATGGAGTATGTTATTCGCCCTTTGTTAAAACTGATTATTTTATGGAATATACACTAATAACCTATGTTGCATGCGTATGGGTGCGGGTGCGGACATGGAAATGGGTGTGGATACGTGACATGACAAATTTGTAAAGGCAGAATATGGCGACATGGCTATGTTCATACAATTGAAATTAATAATTTATTTGTTATGAGAGCAAAAATTCCCTGTAACATCTTTATGTTATGAGAACACAAATTCCCTGTAACATCTTTATGTTATGAGAACAAAAATCCCTATAACATTTTTATGTTTCTTTTGTTGAGTAGATTATGAATTGAAAAGCCGCTTGTTTTTTAACTACATACCCAAATGACTCTTTGAAATCATACTTAAGAAGTGGGTATGGACTGAAATAAACCTGACCCAAGTCCAACGAGTTGTAGAAATGTGAGGAAATGTCTACATCCAAGAAGTGTATCACAAGTGTTTTAAACTAAAGACATATTATATAATTGAGTATATGTCTGAGTAAATGTATGAGAATATTCAGGAAATGTCTAAGAAGTGTCGGACACAGAAATGGACGGGAGACTAGACGAAGTGTCCAGGTAACCTAGCTAATAACCCTATATGAGTACTCGAGTCAGATATTTGCATTCACATGTTGTGTTTGACTCCTTGTCCATCTCAAAATGTGACACTTTGATCCACGTGTATAAGTCATAGTTGGTATTGTTAGAGTGTAGGTTCTCATTTTGATTTACAAATACACTTGATACATGTGTTGTTGATTTTGATCTTGGTTTACTTGATCTTTATATGTTGAAGGTAAGGAATGATGCTTTAAGTTAATCTAGCCAGCATGAAAGTTGTAACTTAGTGTAGGCAAAAGGAACAATACGGGAAATCATATTATTAGTCTGATTTTGTATGTTGTTCCAATTGATTCTTGCATATCCAAAGTAAGAGATGCCACAGACTTTAACATGTTTATGCAGATGTGTACCATTGCACAACGCCTAAGGTTTGTGGTGATGGGCTTCAATGATTTTAACAGATTTACAACCAATCTCAATCCCACATTTCTATCTATATCTACATTTGTATAAATATCATATTTGTTATTATTACGAGTTGCCAAACTTATTATCTTCTTAATGTCTGCAGTTTAAAAGCCATGATTAGCTCGTTCTATATACTAAATCCTCAAGTAAAAAACTCTGTCATGTCAGGTGATAGATGAGCTAGCTTGTCTAGGTGTAGAGTGAATTTATTTGCAAAAAAAGCTATTTTACTAGACCATATTTGTTCTGCTTAACTTTTCAGCTTAAAAAAGATCACTTGTATGAATAGCTTGGACTAGAGGATAAACCTCTAAATCTCCTTTTCAGCTCTTTTCAAGATTTGAATCATTTTTTGTATAATTTTTTTCGGTATAGAGACAATGTGAGTTGGTGAACAGATAGCCTCATTTTTTAAATTATTGTTTAAGTTATCAAATTTTATTCGTACGGTGTGTGCGGTATTATTTGACCATTTAAGTTGAGACCCATGTTTTCTTCTACCTGATATTGTTCTACTTCCATTTAAGCTCTTAACACAAATTTACATGTACATGGGGATCTCTATTAAGCATAACCCATTTTCCCCTTTGAACTTTCATATAACTTGTCAAAGCCTATTTGAGATGTGTGGGACATTGGGTTGGAACTTAACTTTCTGTAAGAAAGCATATTATCTATTTTCATTTGTTATTATTATTTGTTTTGTTTGATAGATGTGCAATGGTTGTCACATCTAAAACTTCCGTTTCGCGTTGTGAGCATATTTATTTAATATAATTATAATTCAAATGTCAACAGAGGTGCATGGTGATCTTGTGATATGACCTGTTGATCTAATTCAATGTTTCTTTCAAAGATGAAGAGATTATTAACAAAAGCCCACAATGTCTTTTTGAAAATCACTCATCAAGCGCTTATTGATAACGATGGAACTCCTGTGAATACTAGCCATAGTTTCCTTCTGGCATAAAGAACATTGTTTGATCGACTCTTTTCATCTGACCTAGTGTTACCTTCTTTATCATATCCTTTGGTCTGTGCTCCACGGGATGCACCTTTTGAATGTGACATGGTCCTGAGAGGTAGGCTTAAAAGGACCTGTATCTGGGCTCATGGTACTTTGCTAACCATATACTTATTTGTACTGAAAGAATAATGAAGCTAGAACGGCACAACTCTGGCATGCTGCCAGAGAGCTTCCCATTGAGGAGTCATAAAGTCAATTTCTCTGAGTCGACACAGGCTAGGAATTGAGTACATCCAGATCATCCTATCAACTCAGTCTCCGTCAACTCACCATATGATGCTTCTTTGTTTGTTTGTTCAGAAAGAGTTCCTAGTTTACCTTATCCTTGACAATGAGGATGCCATCTTGTAAGCAAGGGGAATTTGACGGTCGATGAGAATTGTTGATGTGCTATGGAGGATCCTCTGAAGGCGGCTAAATTATTGTGAAAATTCCAAAATTATCTTAATTTATTAGGTTGACCCTTTTTTAAAAAAAATTGGAGTTCCTAGCTCAGAATCATTGGTGTAATTGATTTACTAGTTACTACTTGTTATATGACAGTTATTCGGATAAGTCAGATTTGACTTATTCTTATTAGATATTTAAAATGATTGAGGTAAGATTTGGTTTATTTAGGTTATATTTGTTGATTAGCTCGTTATTTAAATTTAGTTAATAAACAAGGGTTCAGATATCTTGAGAGTGAGTCAAAGCGTGGCAATTCACTAGTAAGGTGATGTGTGATTTTGCTTCTTCAGCAAAAACTGATTGTTTTAAGTTCTCTTTAGCTTTAAGGATGTATGTATTGATCACAACCCACTTTAAGCAGCATCAAACTACAAAGCGTGCTTCAATGTTTTGCAGGTACAAAGTTGTTGAATCATGTCCTGGATCTCTCTGCGAAGCAGAACATCTCAGAAATATATTTGCATGTTCAAACAAACAATGACGATGCCATCACCTTCTACAAAAAATTTGGATTCGAGATCACAGAGACGATTCAAAATTATTACATGAATATTACCCCACCAGATTGCTATGTCCTCAGTAAAGCTATTGTCCAAGCTGACTCCAAGAAATGAGTATCCAAGCTGCTCTTTATGTATAAACCTATTTAATCCAATGTCACTGATGCCTGGAGAAGAAACTGTAGGTGCTCAAGTCATGGTCAGCTGCAAGTTTTTGTTTTGTTTTAAGAATTTATTATTCTTCTTGTTTGCTGGACTTTTGTTCTTCTGAACCATTTTGCTATTTTCCATGAAAATGAGCTTTTTATTACCATTTCCCAAACCTTGTTGCAAAAAAGAGTAAGATGCTTCACATAGCTTCCACTTTCCAGTTTAATGCAGTGCTCTTTTTTAACAGGCTCGTGTAGACAAAATGCTTATCAGAATTGTGCCGCTATTATCCCGTGCAAAAAAAAAAAAAACATAAAACAAAAGAAATGCAACTAGAAGTTTACACTTAAGATTTCTCTTGACCTATGAAGCACCGACTCTCCAAATTTGCCGCCGAGTTCGTCTCCGACGCGTGTTGGACGCGGACACGCGTTCGACACGCGTCGGACACGTGGTCAACACCCTCGACACGGTCAACGCCGTTGACATGCCGTCGACACACCATTTTTTCTGATTCTTTCTCGACACGCCGACTGAGGGTTACGAAGCGGTTATTGGGTTTGAAAACCCACTGTTTGTGAGCCCGTTTCGAAATAAAACCTAAAAGCAAAGACCGATACCTCTCTTTTCTCTCATCCGGCGAGTGGCGCTTGCTTCTCTCTCTCCCTCTCTTCTCTCATCCTAGGGCATCAGTTGTTTCCCCCATCTCAACCGCAGCGGCGAATCGGAGACCACCCAGAGGCGGCGAGTCGGCGACCACCCAGAGGCATCGGTTGTTTGTAAGTTTTTTGACCTTTTTTTTGTTTTCTTTTTTTTTTCGGCTGCTTTTCTCTCTCCCTCTCTTCTCTCTCTCACATCTCCTCTTCCCCAGGTTTCTCTCAGAGGCATCGGTTTTTTTTTGTTTTCTTTTTATTTCTTCATTGTTTCTGCTCTATTAATGGAGCCAGTTCATATTTTGAGTTCTCATGCAAAGAATAAATGTGTGAGTGACCTTTTTTCTTGGTTTTCTTTTTTTTTCTTCATTTTTTCTGCTGTATTAATGGATCCAACTCATGTTTTGAGTTCCCATACAAAGAATAAATGTGAGTGTTTGACCTTTTTTCTCGGTTTTCTTTTTTCTTCTTCATTTTTTCTGCTGTATTAATGGAATCAGCTCATATTTTAAGTTCACATACAAAGAATAAATGTTATTAAGACTGGACTTGTTCACATATGCATGCTCTTTTTTTATTAGATCATTTTCTATAAGAGCTTTGCTATAGGGACCCAAAATATGGGACCAATAAAGGGGACAAGTGAGGTGTCCCCCTCCTATTAGATGATGGCCAACTCATTATCTAATAGGAGGAGTACACATCACTTGTCCCCTTTATTGGTCCCATATTTTGGGTCCTTAAAGAATTTTTCTTTCTACAATGTAAACTAATATAAAACTAACTATTATTAAGTCTGTGCGTCTAGAATTTTTTTTTGATCAATGCAAACTAATAAATGTTATGAATGCCTCTTGTTGGTTTTAATATTGGTTGTTGACAAGTCAAATCTTTGAGTTGGTTAGTATGTGTGACTGGACAAAAAAGGCATTTTCTATTGTACATAGTAGTGTTAAAGGCAAAGCAAACCTATTGATTGGGCACTTTATGTCATGAAAGCATGACCGATCATATTAGGCTATGAATTAGCAGGAACGTATGATTTGCTTTGTGGAATTTCACTCATTCCCAAAGCATGATAGGAATTTAATTCAATATTAATATATATATAATAATAATATTAAAAAAATTTAACCGTGTCGTCGTGTCCTATTTTTTTGGGTTTTACCGTGTCTGTGTCGTGTCTGTGTCGCCGTGTTCGTGTCCGTGCTTCATAGCTCTTGACAAGCCAAGTTGTTCATTTTAACCTCTATCATATAAGATGTAGATGTGCAGTTTTTTATTCTGAAACGTTAGGTAGAATAAACATGATAAGTCTATGAGGTGGATATCGGTGAAGTGATTATTTGTAAATTTAGGTTTTATGTGATAGAGATCAACATGAATGGCCTGCATCCATAAAACAAATATTCCGTTTAATAACTATTTAAGTCATTTCTTCGGGTAAAATTAGATGAGGTGTCAGTTTATTTAAGAAATTATGTTTTCGTAAATTATCTTAATATGCAAACTCTTTATTAATATAGACTGGGATGCAATGAGCTCATGCTGCTAATGATATCTATTCTTTTATACAAATGGGAGAAACAAAGAGTCACTGTTCATGCTACAGTAAATGCTACAGTAGACAAATGGGAGAAACAAAGAGTCACTGTTCATGCTACAGTAAATGCTACAGTAGATTTACTGTAGCAGTATTACTGTAGCAGCACTGTTCATGCTACAGTAAATGCTACAGTAGATTTACTGTAGCAGTATTACTGTAGCAGCTGAGAAATGCAAAAAACAATGTAGCAGATCGGTTACTGTAGCAGCTCGGGGATGGCACTGTAGCAGGCGAGTTACTGTAGTACCCTAGAAAAATTCAAACCGGGAGAGTTTAAAAACGGCGGGAACACTGTAGCAAAAAAAAAAAACACCGTGCTGCGCACGGGCTCGGGAACACTGTAGCAAAAAAAAAAAACACCGTGCTGCGCACGGGCTGCACACTAGTTTTCCTGTAATTTAGAAGAGCTTAGTGTAAAATTTGAAAGTTTTGAAAAAAAAAATCTCCAAATAGCCTTTGTAAAATTTGCAAGAAAAAAAAAATCCGCCAAAGCATACTCAAGAATAAATATCTAAATCAACTTGGCCCGTTTGGATAATGGAAGTATTAGAAGTAAGAAGTAGGTTATAGAAGTAATTTTCAAAGCTATGAAGTAGGAAGTAGTGGAAATAACATTTTTTTTTGTTTCATATATTTTTAGAAGTAATGGAAGTAGAACTTCTTCCTCTTTATTTACTTTTTTTGTTTGGATAACATTTGAAAATATTATTAGAAAGTAATTTTATCAATGAAAAGTTGTTAGAAGTAACTAATAAAGGAAATATTAATAAAAAGTATTTATGTCATAATTAATATGCATTTCAACTACTTCCGAGCTACTTCTGAGTATTGAGGATTAAAAAAATATTTTGGAAGTAAGGATGACACGTAGGCGCCACATAAACATTTAGGAAAATATTGGAAGTAAGTTTTTCAGAGAATCAAACATACTTTTTTGTTTGAACGTAGCAGAAGTAGCCTCTACTTCTTTTACTTCAGCTACTTCACAATTACTTCTGTGCAAACAAACAGGCTCAGGGGCGGAAAAATAAAGAGGGGTAAAAGAAATTTTTTACACGTGCAAAACACTTGCATGAAAATGTTAGAGCAACAACTTTTTAGATGCCTTAAAAAAAGCATAGGTGCTAGAAAAATATCTGTAGATATATCGTATCCATATCCGTTAGGTTACTACAATTTATAATCAATAGGATATGGATACAGAGATGTTTATGTAGTGAATATTTGAACCATTATCTAAAATATCTAAATATATTTTGCTTATACAATGGTAATTGTTATAATCATTAGATTAATGGATTTGGGGCTTATTTTGAAGATCAAAATATATAATCTTAGTTTTTAGATATAACAAACATATTAATGAACTCTCTTATATCATACAAATTATATTTTTTCAATATTATTTAGCTTTCACAGATTCTTTCGGTATCTACATGCATATCCGCATGTATATCCATATGCATATTCGTATTTGTATCTGGCTTTAGCATATATAAATACGAATTTTCCTAATAGAAACATATCTATAATCTTAAGCGGATACGAGTACGACAAATATCAAATCTGATCGAATCAGACTGTATCCGATCCGTTAATAATCTTGTTAATCTAATCTAATCTAATCTAATCTAACACTGTTATAAAAGTGGATTGGTATATTAAAACATTTCTTCTCAAAGTACCCTCCAAAATACATGCAAATATATATAGAACACATACATACATCCTCCGAAACTCATGCATACATACATAATAAAACACATATATACATGAACATACATGCATACTTAAATGAGAACAATTATTACTTTTTATTTATTAATAATTTTCTTAATTAAATTTCTTTATGGCCTGCATTTAATATCTTAAATGACCTCTTCCATCCATTCTCTCTCCACTATTTCTTAAGTCCGTTCAATCCCTACTATTACTGTTATTTTTATATATGAAAGTCATGAATAAAACATTTTCACCATCTCTCTCTGTCTAAGAAAAGTTCTCATGCATTTAATTATATGAAAGTCATGAATAAAACATTTTCACCATCTCTCTCTGTCTAAGAAAAGTTCTCATGCATTTAATTATTTGGAAGAGAGTTCTGATTTTGAACATTTGTCTCTCTCTGTCTAAGAAAAGTTCTCATGCATTTAATTATTTGGAAGAGAGTTCTGATTTTGAACATTTGTAGTGAATCAATGTCTAAAAGAGAGTTCATTTTTATTCTTGATCTTCTACACATGTTTATATATTGAGGATACTTTTTTTAAAGAAAATAAATTATCGTTTACTTTTACCATATATCTTCTACACATGAATATTGGTCTTAACAAATATCTTTTATTATGAGAAATGATGACGAGCCTATGAGACAAGAGCCATGATTTAGAATGAAGTTAGGCATACAATAATGGAAGGTTGTTGTGAATGAATTTGTAACTAATGTATTTATGTAAAAAAAATTACTTCAAGAACAAAATATTTCATCCCGCTGGTTGAGAATTTGCACATGCGGATATCTTACTAATTATTTGGAAGAGAGCTCCGATTTTAAACATTTGTAATGAATCAATGTCGAAAAGAGAGTTCACTTTCATTCTTGATCTTCTACATATGTTTAAATATTGAGGATAAATTTTTGAAAGAATATAACTTATATTTTACTTTTATCCTATATGTTCACAAAATTCTATCTTATTAGTTTTGAACGAAGTTTGTAAAATCGAATTGATATTTTTTTGCCATATAAAGCAAAATTTTAATTATCATAAACCAAGAGAAAAAAATATGTTCACGTGCAATGCACGTGCATTATACTAGTTCAATCTAATATATACTTACTATCATAAAAGTGTGTTACCATGTTAAAACATTTATTCCAAATATACCCTCATATTTATGTTAAAACACATACATGCATGCATAAAACACATACAAGCATAAAGTACGTATATGCATGCATACATACATAACTCATACAATTCATTCTATTTATCACATCATCATTAATGTATTAAATACAAGAAGTAATATTGACAATTAAATATATTATTATTGAATTATTAAAAACATCATATTAGTTTCTAATTAAATAACATATAGTTTACATTAGGTATTAGGTATACAAAATAGTTTCAAAAAATCATGCATATATTTATATAAAAGAGAGAAAGAACAAAAATAGCTCATGCCCAAATTAACCTGATCAAACCCCTGCATCAAAACATGTCAGGCTTAACAAATTAAAAATGAGAAATAGATTTTAGTAGGTTATTAAAATTAGACAATCGAGTCAAAATAAGCAAAGAAAAACACACACACTTAATTCACAGCCAAAACCCTTTCAATCTACAAATTTAGACAATTCTCTCCACTAACCCTTTTTCATTAATTAGTTAATAAACCACCCACTAATCCTCTCAAACATCCCATTACCAGCGAGCGTTTCTCACCTCCACATAAATACACGCGTGCTAAACTGAAAAAAGGAGAAGAACCAGAGGCCTCAGCAAAAATTAATCTCCAACGAAGAATAAATCATCAAGAGATGAGAAGTGAGTAGATCAGTTCAAATGGATCTCATTTAAAGGCACACTGAAATAACAAATTAGCCATTGAGATTTCATGATGTGCTGTTGATGAAGCCTGTCAACCACCATCTTTATTATCTCTTCATCATTGTCAACATCAACATCGACTTCAGTGAAATCACAATCTTCTGTCAAAGTTTACGGTCTACCTCCACGATCGGTTTTGCTCCAGAAATTCACCGGTAAGTCTACTACGACTCAATGGTCATGTTGGCGAGATTGAAGGTGAGAAAGCGGGTTAAGAGAATATTTCTAATTGTTTAAAGGTTTAAAAATAACTATATGTTATGCTATTATATGTTATCATATGTTTGTCTATATGCATTGTAAATAGCCACATATGTCTAACTTGCTAATAAAAGCAGCTAGCACTGAGGAGTAGCAATATCATTAGAAGGGCGATAGTTGGATGTATAGCAGAGGTGAGTCTTTGTTAATTTTTAGATATTGAAATGATTATTCTTGAATTTTGCAAGGCTTTGACGAAAGGGGTTGAAGGGCACACACTGCAATTTGTTTGTCTTCGACTTTTAGATGGATTTTGTACAAGCCGGCAAGGGTTTGACTTCCGACAAGGCTCGCGCTAGCTTTTCATCATTGGACTGAAGTTGTAAACATAAATTTTCTTTCACGTACTTTGTTTCTCTTGAATGAGAAAAATCAATGATAGCATTAGTGCGTCATTTTCTGTTCCTAACTCCAAATATCTATTTTAGGAAATCAAACAAGCTAATAACTGAGTATTTTAATATTTAAACTTTAAATTCTCCATCCAAAATTTTCTCTAAACTCCAGTAAAGTGCCTATTTTGAATTAATCAAATTCATCTTGAAGCTAGCGCTTACAAGCAAATACATTTTCCATGCATTTTTATTAATATACTTTTAATAAATACTTTTCTAATGTTAATTTGTGTACTGATTTCATAATTAGTAACTTATTAATTTAATGGTATTTCATAATTATATCAATTTTAACAAGTATCAGTGATATTTAATATATTATTATAAACTAAATGATACACTAATATTTAATATATACTTATTGCAAAACACAAAACATTTCCAAAAGGTGCAAAAATTTTTTGCAAAAAAGCAAGGACTCAAAAATTTATCCATGTTCAAACAAGATCAATTTTCTATGAAAATTGTTGTTTAATTGAGGGTCCATTTTGATTGTGCTGGTTATTATAGGTGAGAGATAAAGCGGAGAAATTAACAATGGTGAATAATGAATCAAGAATAGTGTAATGAGCAATGTTGATACATGATCCGGAACATTTCTTAAAACATCAGATAATTGATGATATTATTTGACTGTTAGCTCTTATTTCTATTTGGGTTTTCTGATATAATTGATGACCATGAGTTGGATGGATATGTTGGATATTTTCTTGAATTTTCATATTGTTATGAAACACACTTTTACTAAATACACAATTTAAGCAACGATCAGGTTATTTTCAAATATAAACAAATTAGTGTGCACCCCGTATAAAGCACGACTTTCCTTTTTTTGGTTTCTGCTACAGTAATTCTTTTTTAAATGCTACAAATTTTTTTGTGAATGCTACAAGTATTCTGTTTGTGCTATAGTAATAATGCTACAGTAATCCAATGTAGCATATACTATAGCAAGAATAATGAATCTTTGGATCCTCCTATAAAGTATAGACTAGTGTGCAGCCCGTGCAAAGCACAACCTCTTTTTTTTTTTGCTTCCGCTACATTAATTTCTTTTTAAATGGTATAGTATTTTTTTGTAAATGCTGCAGTGATTTTTTAAAATGCCACAGTATTCTGTTTTTGCTACAGTGATACTGCTACAGTAATAATCTGCAGTATTTTGTTGTAGCATAAATAGTTAGCCTTGGGATGCTCTTATAAGTATCTACTCCTTTATGCTTATAGGAGGATCCAAATTTACTATTTATACTACAGTAAAAAATGCTACGGTTAATTATTATAGCACAGACAGAATGCTATATCATTTTAAAAAATTACTGTAGCATTTAAAAAATAACTACCGTAACAAAAACAAATAAAGGGGTTGCACACTTGTAGAAGAGTAGATAAGATGTAGAAAAGAAACACAATTCACACGCATACGCACTTTAACTACATTACAAAAGCTTTTGTACTATTTTCATTTTGCACTTACATTATACGCACAAAAAAAAATGAAAATAAGTTAATAAAATCATAACCTACACAAAATCATGAAATGGGTATACGTGCGTTGCACGTGTGCCGTACTAGTAAACCCTAAAACCTAAACCCCCTCTCTACCCCTCAATTCTCTCCGTAGCAATCAAATCTTTCAAATTTGATCCATTTTTGTTAGATTTACAAACAATCCCCGAACGATTACATATTTTCATTTCTGTAATCGAATCGAGTTCCTCTTTCTTCAGTTTCTCTCTTCCAATGTCTTTTCGAGGCCGAGGCCGAGGGCCGGTTTCGGCCGCGGACGGATTCGGCGGCGGCGGCGGTTTTAAATGCCAAGCCGCTTCCCTACATCCTTTTCCCGGTTCGTCTCCATTTACATTCTATAATTTCCTTCCTTTTTTTACTTAATTTTTCATGAAAATTTCCGTGATTTTCTATGGTATGAGGAAATTATATCTATTTATTTATTTGCAGGAAGATGTAACCTTGCCGAGCTTGCCGGATGTCGGGACTATGTCAAAAGAGGAAAAACTGTTGATCGCATCGAAATATCGGTTGGAACAATTTTGGGTAACTTCTTGTTATCATTTGGAACAAAATGCATTCCCCAAGATAGAGAAGTCTGAAGATGGGAAAAAAGTTGTGAAAGTCGCAGAATCGAGTAATTAGATCATGCTGCTTAATTCTTAATTACAGGCCCATAATTTTGTTCTGAACGAATGATCATTACTTTGGTGTATATCAATCACATATGACCATCTCGGTATATGTTCGATGTAACTGTTATAAGCTTCCTATTGATTAGTCATGCACATCTAGAAACATTTTGAGATTCATGAGTAATGTTCTACTATATGCGTTGCTAATGACATGCACTTGCAGTACTCTCTACCGACATGGATAGTAAATGAAAATTTTTCACGAAGTGATATGGCAACAAGTGGATCAAATATATGGAAGCATATATAAGAATGAGGAAGTCAATGAAAGCCCAAAGCTTTTTTGCCCTCCTTAAATTGAATTTAAAGCCAATTGAAGTTATATGATATGGTTCACTGTGTTAGCCTATATGAAACACAGAACCATTGAGACACCCCATGCCCAAACCATCCGAAGATGGGACTGAATTAGCTATCAATTTATGATGGCATTGCCACCATTCATTGAACCAGTTTACTACAAGTTGCAGTTGGTGATCATTAACTAAGTATGGGATGTTAATAGGCTATTTGCTATTTCTCTGCTAATGTTTTTATTTTCATGCTGAGCTTCTGATAAGAACTGCTGTTATAGCAACAAAAACAGTATAATGCAATTGGAGTCAGCTTGCTGTTAGAGTCAGGGATTAAGACGTCGGAAGTAAATAAATAAAACAATAAACAATAAGATCTGCTTGTCATTGTAGAAGCGAGCAGTCACTATGTCCTGATGTACAGTATGTCATCACTTTAATTTCGCTACTTTGTCAATATCTTGCTTTTTCTGTATATTTATATTTTGATCTCTAGTATATTTCAATGAGTGCATTCTGTTCTGACTTATGCAATGGCAGATGCGGAAGATGCAGAAATTGAACGGTATTCTGATAGATTTAAGCAAAAGGTACATGGAAAACGTGAAGCTCTGGAATCTTACATGAAGC